CCCCGAGCCTAGCATGCATGACACTAGGGATGCTGGTAAGATAAATGGGGAACAGACTGTCAGAAATCCTTCTGTATCCACAGACATTCAGAACAGGTTTCTTCAGCGTCCAACATGGAAACAGCCCAAGTGTCCCTCAGCTGATAAAGGAATATAAATAAACACGATGTGATCTAGACACACGGTGGAGTGCTATTAGCCCAAGTCAGAACGGCAGTGCTTACTGCAAGAATGAAGTTGGACAACATGATGCTAATTAGGCAAGCACGCCACCACTGAGCTATGCCTCCAGCCTCATGATACTAATTAAAAGAACTCTGTCACAAAGACCATCTTACGATTTACTTGAGTGAGATTTCTGGAAGCGCTGATCCACAGGGATACGCAGTAGAACCCAGGTTGTGAGAGGCTGGGGGGTGTTGGCTAATGGCTGTGGGATTTCTTTCGGAGTACAAAAAATATCTGGAATTAGGTAGGTATCGTGATTGTGCAAGAGTGTAGCTATACTAAAACCTATGTCATCGTTTTTTATTTTGGAGACAGATTAATCTGTAGCCCAGGATGGTTTTGAACTTGTGTCATTTAAACTTGCTTTGACCTAAAACTTCTGATCTTCCCGCCCTCACTTTCCAGTTGCTGGGCTTCCCTGCATGTGCCGTGACTCCTGCTATATTCCTGCATTCCATGCCGGGGATCTGCCTTGCTAGACAGGCACACAATCAACTGAGCCACACACACTGGAATTACACGTACTCTGGAGCCACGTACTCTGGAATTACATATTTTGAGGGGTAAATTTTGTGGTGCGTGATGCTAACTTTCCAAAAGTTATACAGAGGAAGCCGCTGGTGCCTCTTATGTCCTCATTTATTTATTTATTCATTTATTTATTACCACAGCAGGGTTCATAAGAGGACCTGGAGCAAGGCCCTGAGCTCTGTGTGACTGGGAGGAGGTGTCTGTGAGTGGCGCACAGCTGGCCCTGACCACCAAGTCACACCAGCCTGAGAAAACAAACGGGATGGACAGGGAAGGGCATGTATGAAGCAGCCTCACTGTGACGTCTGAAACCCAAGATTGGGTGCATAAACCCCACAAGTCTCCCCCGACAGGTCTCTGGCTGAGAGGATAGGGGCTCAGCTTGGCTTTGCCTAGACACTGGTGTGAGCGCTGTATATCTGCTCTCTGAGGTCAACGTGAAGGCAATAGAGCTGGGTGAGACCGTGGGCCCCACTGTTGGGGGCTCAGTTTCACGTGGCCTTCTTATCTGTGTGATCTTGTGGAACATGAGTCTTCTCCAGTTCTGAGTTCTGTCACTGGCCTTAGAGGACAGTAGGCCCTGCCTCCTGGGGTGCTTGTGTGGGCTAAATGAGACACATATGCTATTGTGCTGAGCCTGGGCTGGTTGCTCTGGTGAGTGAGTGGTGGGTCCTGCTGGGGCTTGGGCTCTTCTCCAAGACCTCCTGGCACCCAGGCCATCAGGTTCAGGGATGCAGATGGATAGGTCTGCTGGCAGGTCAGGGTGTCAGGGATTGGGAGGAGCAGGGGTGGCATTACAGCTGAGGTGGAGGAACGGTGACTTTTCCTCCTCCGTAGGAAGAACCCCTCCTTCCAGGGCTTCCTGCCTGACCTGTGTGGCTGTGGCCCTATTGCTTCCAGCTGGAGTCTAGCCTCTTTTGGCCAAAATGAAATAGCAAGAGAATGTCATCGCATTCTTCAGGGACTGAAAGCCAGCAGCTAAGGATGACAGTGTCCCCATCTCATTCCAGCCTTGCAGCTAAGAAGGCTCTGGGAGTTAACCTCCCACCCCAGGTGCTTTCTGTCATCTCTGTAGCTGCCCCGGCACAGGACAGCGCCAACAACAAGAGGGCAAAAGCAAGAGGAAAATACAACGTCTGCTGATGGAATGGCAACAGGAAGAGCTAGTGTTTATAGAAGGGCTCAGAATCACTATGCAGCCAAGGTTGTGGAATGCTCTGCCTATCTCCTGCAAACCGTCCGCTGGCTTCAGACCCAGGCTGGAGACGAGCAGAGCGCTCTGTAGCAGCTTCGCCAGCCAATATACTGCTTGTCAGAAAGTCCGCCACACGTGTGTCCAGACAGGTGCGTGCCGGCTACACATGCCACTGTGCTTCTGTGACATAACGAATGAAATACCGTGCGGAAAGAAAGGGTCATTACTGCTGAGAAAACTAGGTAGACAGCTTTGGAAAACTTAAGATGCAGGTTTGCTTTGAAATGCTGACTACCTCAGATTGGGTGGGACACATACGAGAGACTGGAATGAAGATCTGGAGAGATCCTGTAACCAGATTTGAGGCCCAAAGTCCATGTTCTTACTCCACTTGACGTGAAGTCGGGGTTTGAAGATGTTTTATTATAAGAAAGGTTTATGCAAGTAAAATGATGAAATTTAGTCAGAAAAAGATGTTGGCTCTCTACTGGAAGATTAGCAAATGAATACATGTATATCTTCTAAATTAACATAAAGCCTGTCTTTAGGGTGGCAGTTTCTTTTTAAGCTAGCTTTTCAAGTTAACCGACCCATATGCTAGTGGTAACAGAGCTGGAGACAGGACATTTACAGTACCTAGATATATGTGGGTCCTTCACATCTCCTCTTTCCTAATGCTGGGCAGCCGGTATCGCCCAGTATGTGGAGCCACAGTGAGATTTCCCCAGAACTGTGGTCCCAGGGTTCTTTCTCAGAACAACAGTGACAACATCACATGTAATTCAGAGCTCAACTGTTTGGAAAAAATCTTGACCCTTGTCCTTCTTGCAATCCACCATGTGACTTGGTACACTGAGAATAAAGAAGAGGGGCTGGGGAGACGAATCTGTGGATGAAGTATATGAGGACCTGAATCTGGATCTTTGGCACCCATGGAAAAGCAGGGTGTAGAACAGGCTGGCTTTGAATTCACGAACTCTGCCCGCCTCTGCCCCTTGAGCACCAAAATTACAGGTGTGTTCTACCATACCTGGTTTATAACCCTAACACTGTGGGGTTGGAGATACGGGGACCCTGGGGATTTCCCCAGCCAGTCAGTCTAGGAAAAACAGAGAGCTCCTGTCCTGTGAGAGACTGTGTCTCAAAATTTAAGGTGAATTGTGGTAGAGGAAGGTGATCGACATTTACTTCTGGTTGCTATATGCATGCACTAGGAAGTGCACCCCACACCCATGCAATCAATACATTTCTCTCTGTTTTTCTGTCTGTCTGTCTGTCTGTCTGTCTCTCTCTCTCACATACACACATATACACTTTTTTTTTTTTTTTTTTTTTTTTTTTTTTTTTTTTCGAGACAGGGTTTCTTTGTAGCTTTGGTGTTTGTCCTGACCAGGCTGGCCTTGAACTCATAGAGATCCACCTGTGTCTGCCTCCCACAAAGGCATGTGCCACCACCGCTCAGAGCACGTGCGCGCACACACACACACGCGCGCACACACACACACACACACACACACTTTTAAAAAGTAGACAAAACTTTGTAGAACAAACAAACAGTTAATCATGGAATAACTTTTAAAAGATCTAGTAAATCCCCCAAAGGTTCACACATTGTGAATCAAGGATTTAAGGTTCACAGATGACGCATGGTCCCTCTTCTTGGGAGACTTGGCACGGCTGGAGAGACTATGTATATAGACAGATACACCCATCTACAGCAAGCACTATAGGAAGTTTACTCTCAGCGTCAGAGGATGGCAAAAATCAGCAGGTACTTTAGATCAAAATGACAGACACATCAGCTACTCACCTCCAGATTTCACGATATTGGGACTCAGTCTTAAAAACCTTGTCCCAAGCTTGGTCTTTGGGAGACTAGCAGGAGGATGATGAGTTAGAGGCCAGTCTGGGCCTCATAGTAAGACCCTGTTTCAAAAATGAAACCAACCATAACAAACGTATACAACTTTGTTCTTTGCTCATTGCAGGAGAAGGATCAAAAGGGAAGAATTTCTTTTTGTTGTTTTTAGTCAGGGTCTTGCTATACAGCCCTGGGTCAACCTCAAACTCCACGCTCTTTCTGCCTTAGCCTACCAAGTATCAGGATGGGTACTACTACCATGCCTGGTTTGTTAAGGGCTGAACATAGCTCTGTATGTTTGTCCTCTCTTCCAGCTTTCACCACTCTAAGGAATAAATGCCATTGGAATTATCACCCAGCAACTGAGAGAAACAGTCCATACCCCAGTGGACCTGTCTTTAAGCCTGTCCTTCCTCTATTGTGTCTGGTCCTCAGGCGCTTCTTCGTGTCTCTGATGGAGCTGGGCAATGACAAGTTTGTTTCTGTGCACAGCTGACCATGCTGCGTTCTCTCTCTCTCTCTCTCTCTCTCTCTCTCTCTCTCTCTCCATTTATTTCATTATGTAAACAATGTTCTGTCTGCATGTATGCCTGCAGGGCAGAAGAGGGCACCAGATCTCATTACAGATGGTTATGAGCTGCCATGTGGATGCTGGGAACTGAATTCAGGACCTCTGGAAAAACAGCCAGTGCTCTCAACTGCTGAGCCATCTCTCCATCCCAACCATGTTGCTCTTTGATGATTTTGCCTATATGGCTCAGCCATGGTCTGCAGAGGATGGCTACTGAGTGTACTCATTTTGATAGAGTTGCCTCGACTTCTTCCATTTAGCCCTGAAGTTCTGAATTCTGATTTTGGAAGACCAGTAACAACTCTCACCTCATTTTTCACACTCCCCGCCTTTTCTTAGCAATAGCAGCAACAGGTATTCAGAAGTCCTTGGACTCTAGGTCCCACTTAAGCCTCCTCCAATCTTCCCTGTACCTGATGATCTAGCAAAGCCTTTTTCTGAGACTGTAGTCTCCGCATGCACAGTGTGTTACCTGTGCAATGGGTGATCAATCACTCCCTGCTGTGATTCCATGCCCCCGGCACACACACACACACACAGATGTACACTCATGCATGCACACACACACAGAGATGTACACTCATGCACACACACACACACACACACACACTCACCATGAGATGCTGGAAGAGCCAAGAACGCATTATATTGGTGGCATGCTTGGGCAAGACTCCTCGTTTGTTCTTGGACTTCTTATCCTCATTGTCCAGGAGGGAGGTGAGGTCAAGGTTAACCTTCAGGGCACGTGAAGAAAGAAATCAGCATCAGCAGCCTGTGAGGCCAGTGGCTAGGGACCTGTTGCCATAGTAATGGCCCACTCTCACTGCCAACCCCCTTCTCCCAAGTTATTCTTGGGGCCCTGGGGAGGTCACCTTTCATCTCACCCCATACCACCCCCTCAGAGAATGGAGGTGAGGCTTGGGGAGAGGGGAGCAGGGGTGTAGGAGGAGGGAAAAGGGGGATGAGAGAGGAAACAGAAGAAAAGGGTCATGCAGAGAGTACTGAAGATGAGAATTTGCCATAAACCATCCAATAGTAATTAACATTTCTGTGATTCTTTACAGTTTGCAAAGCACTTTCCTGTCCCTCACCACAGTTAATCCTCATCACGGTCCTGTAGGCGGGCTGGGCTGGCTGCAGTTGGTACTAATCCTTCTTTATTGATAAGAACTGAGGCCCAGAGAGGTTAGGAGACTACACAAGATCATAGAGTTAATGTCAGATCACAGGCATCTGACTAGATCTTTCTATAGATCTGAACTCTGTATCACTGAGGTACAGAGTGGTGGGAGCTGGAGACCAAGCCCAGGAAATACAGAATCCTTTGATCTAACTCTGGAGGCAGCAAAAGCCCTGGAGCTGATAAAACCTTGCCTAGATCCAGCTTCCTATCCAGGAAGCAGCCTCTTAGAGGTGAGGATTAAGTGAGTCACTTGGCCACAGTGCCCAGCAGAGAGTAAACAATCACAGCTAGCCTTCCCATGGCTCATGCGCAAGTACACACACCCACACACACTCACCTGTGTATTCTGGATCTGGATGGCTCCCTGGGGGATTGCTTGGGTGACCACCTGACCTTGGGAGGTTACCATGGTAACCGGTTGATATAAGGCTCCACCTGAGGAGACAACCAGTTTTGGGGTCCCCTATCATGGAGGTGGGAAAAAAGAAGGCAAGCAGGGTCCCCGGTGGCTTGGCACTCACAGGTGAAGACCCTTGGGGACAGTGACAGGAGTGGGTGAGGTGAGAGATGGTGTCCAGAGGGAAAAGTAGAGCTTTTGGTGGGAAGCATTTAGGGGAAGGGGACCTTACTCAGTCTTGAATGTGCGAGTCGGGGGCAAATCATGAGATTTTTGACTTAAATTTGCTCCAACCCATCATAATCAAGACTTGGCGGTCACCGCATGCAGAACATTTTGATCAGGAAACTGAGTGGAAGTCCCTCCCTCAGCAGAGAACACTCCCTACTCCCGGAATTCCCCAGGAGCCCCCTTTCTTCTCCCAGGAGGCTTCCCACAATTCCCAGAACCCTGCACCAACCTGACACGACTTGTGAGTTGACCGTTGTCATGGCGATGTTGCCCTGCTGGAGTGCTGAGGCTGGGACCACAATCCCCTGGGGGTTATTGGAGACTCCAGACATGGAATTGGGGGAATTCTGCAGGAGGTCCTGGCAGTAAGGGAGGGGTGGTTTGGTGACAATGTCCCCAAGAGCTTAGAAGCTACAGCTCCCGCCCCCACCCCCACCACACAGCTCCTGTTACTTCCAGGCACAAACCAGAAGGCAGGTCTCAGGACGTCTTAAAATAAATAAACCAAAGACTCATAATAGCCCTACACTTACATTTCCTTCCAGAGGCAACCTGGGGCCCGAATGACCCCCTAACCTGGGAACCTCACGGCAGCTACATTTTGGAATCTGCAGTTATGAGCTACGGGTTCCAAGCTCAGAGTCCCTTCTTTAATGGGTCGGGGTATGTTCCAGGCTTGACATTCTAAAACCTCTCCAGGAGATTCTGACTTGCAGAAACCCTCCATTCGTGGCTGGAGAGATGACTCAAGTCATTAAGAGCAGTGACTGCTTTTCCAGAGGGCCCGGGTTCAATCCCCAGCACCCACATGGAAGTTCATAACTGTCTGTAACTCCAAGATCTGACAACCTCACACAGACATACATACAAGCAAAAGACCAATGCAAATAAAATAAAATTATATATATATGTAAATTATATATAAATATAAATAAATATATGAATATATATAAAATATATATACATATATGTATACACACACACACACACACACACACACACACACACACACATATATAAAGAAGCTCTCCATTCACCTGCTTAGCACTTACTCAGCTGCAGGCTCAGCTGCCCAGATGTTCACCCTGGCCCTCCCCTCTTCCAGCACCTCTGTTCTTCATCTACCTCCAACACAAACAGCCTCCAATGCTGTGTTCGTCTGTTCACTCATTCTTTGCAGTGCTGACTTTCGTGCACATGCTGGGCAAGTGCTCTACCACCTAAGCCACACCCTCATCCCTCCAGTGATTTGCTTTTGTACATCTCTAGTGCCTATATGATGCTAAAATGTTTGTTTAAGAATAGTAAAGCCGGGGCTGGAGAGACAGCTCAGAGGTTAAGAGCATTGCCTGCTCTTCCAAAGGTCCTGAGTTCAATTCCCAGCAACCACATGGTGGCTCACAACCATCTGTAACAGGGTCTGGTGCCCTCTTCTGATCTGCAGGCATATACACAGACAGAATATTGTATACATAATAAATAATAAATATTTAAAAAAAAAGAATAGTAAAGCCGCCTTGGGTCACTGTATACCCTGTGTTTCTAATGGCATCATATGTAAGCCTCGACACCGGCACACGTTATCGACTCTGCTGTCTTCCCTGAATTCTCAACACAGAATTATCCTGGGAACAAACTCCCCTAGGCCCAGATTGTTAACCGATTTGTTTTTGCAGTAGCCAAGGCAGCTAAGAAGTAAGTTTCTCTTGTGTCTTGTTCCCCTCATCATTCCCTTCTAGCGGTTAGTAAAGAAGTCTTTGGATTTGCTGTGGAAGGTCTCCTGCCACCAGAGGAAGAAGGCTTTACTGCAGGCCTCCCGGATGAAGCAATGCCCCCACCCATGCTTTCTGGGTACCTGAGCGTGGTGGCTGGGTGACTGAAGGAGGTGTGAAAGAGGAAGTGAATGTGTGAGAGATGGATGTGTTTAGTTTTGGAGAGGGAGAGAAAGAGGGCAATAAGGTCCAGAGGAGGGGCGCTTGGGAGCTGAGCCCAGTTCTCTGAGCTCTTCCCAGCCGCAGATCCTCATCAGAATACAGGGCTTGAACTAGTTAATGGACCTAAATGACCATTAAGGCCCACATTCCAGAGCTCAAAGCCAGGATCAGAAGGCATGATTAATAAAGAATTAGAGACAGGTAAGTAGTCAAGAAAATGGAGTAAACACGGGGTGAGCTTCTTAACTTTTATTTTAGGACTTTAAGAAGTTTGGGCCTTTGGCCTTCAGGAGTAGCTTAGAATCTGGATTGAGGAAGCACCCATGATTAGAAGAAAGTTTTAGTCAATGACTACCTACTGGTGGTTGCAAACAAAAGGAAGATGTCACAGGCACAGAGCACAGTCACAACACCGTTCCTTCCACTGTGGCATCCTGTAAGTCACGAGGGAGGGAAGTGGGAGCCGGCAATGATTTGAGTTCGGCTTGATTCTGCCTGGTGAATCTCCCGCTGTGTCTCCTCCCAAATTACCACTTTTACCCTCCAGGACCATCCTAATCCAGAGTTGGAGGAGTAGCCCTTCCAGAGAAGCAGGACCAGGGTCTGGGGCCCAGTCCTCCATCCCACCCACTGCCCCATGGGGCCTCTGGGTCAGCTTCTCTGTGAGGGTGAGGCAAGAAGATTCAATTCTATTCTTAGTTCTTGGCTTTGGCGACCTTGGACAAGGGAGAGGGCAGGTCTTGCCTTGGCTTCCCCTCCGGAGAGCTGGGATAGAGCTTCCCGCCGGTGAGAGTCAGTTCTTGATCTGTCTGGCCACACAGTTAAGAGTTTAAATCGAGCTTAGCACACAGAAGCTGCACAAAGTCATTGCCCATACCAACTTCCCTAGTGACACAAGAAAATAAAGTTCTTCAGAGGGCCTGGTGGCTTACTTAAGGTCACACAAGTGATTACCAGCCACGGGACTAGGACTCAGTCCTCCTCACCCTCGCCCCAGCCACAAATATTGAATCACTACTTTGGGCTTCAAGGGGCTTCTTGAATCCTACCCATGGAAGATAAAAACAACCCAAGTCCAGAAGCACATGGAGAAGATGGTCGCCTTGGGAACCACATCACGCCCCCTCGTGGATACCCCTTACTTCCTTACAGAGTTGGTTCACAAGTTTTCAGTCTTGAGACTTGAGATCCCCTGGTGTCAATTTCCCATAGAACCCTTCCCACTGAATGGAACCGGTGCTAAAGATGGTTGAAGCAGGAACAGACCAAAAGGTAGATGTCACAGAATGGGGGAGCCCCAATGTCATTATACCTAAAGTCATGGGAAGTACCTAAAGTCACGGGAAGTAAGTACCCAACAATCTTCATGGTTTTTAGAATTTAGAATAAACATGCATGGCATGAGGATTTTAAATATCAAGACTTGTCCTAGACTCTCTTCACCACCCCAAAGTATTCAGCAAGGTTAGGGAAACACAAGGAAACGTAACATAAATATAAGACGTGCCTTCTGGGATTCAACTAACACAACTGTTTTCTATCGAAAGACAGAAGGGTGAGCCCTACCTGGACACCTCGCCTGCTTACTCAAACTCTGGCTGCTTTTCTTCCTTGGAGAGCCTCCATGCACACTTACTTGGTTTGGAGAACTAAAGGTAACTTTTGTTCTGACTTGGATCATTTTCTCCCCTCCTCTTTTCCACCCTATTCTTGTTGTTTGGCTGTGAGGTGCTGAGAAGGAGCCAAGGTATACCAGCAAAGAGGTGGAATGGAAAAACTTCAGGGTAGAACAAGTAGGCAGGGCCAGGGGTGGCCACATCTTAGCTAGGGCAAGAAAGAGAAAGCAAAGTCCTGACTTCCTGAAGTTGGTGTCCATTCCCTACATCTGCTCCTCTGCGGCTGGAGTTATGGGAGTTGTCAGTCACCTGATGAGGGTGCTGAGAACTGAACTCAGGTCCTCTGCAAGAGCAGTGCATGCTCTTATCCACTGAGCCATCCCTCCAACCCACACTGAGCTGTTTTAAAAGACATGAATTCTCAGGGCCACCGAATCAGGCCCTCAGCAATCTGTGTATTTCAAAACTCTGCTCAGGTGGCCTCCAGCATTAGATGGATCTGAAGATTACCAATTTATCACACACATGAAAACCAAAGTGTATTCATTATCACTTGATTTCATGTTAATCTTGCCATCACCTTACAGGGCTAACAGGAGAGAGATTGTTCCATTTTCCTTAAAAGGGATAATGTCCAGAGAATGGAAGGGGCTTCCCTGACTCAAATAGCTGTAAGTCCCCTTGAGTGTAGGATGGATGCTCACACAGAGAGGAGATAGATCCACAGGCTTGTCTACAAACACACTGCCTGGCACTTTTAGGCATCTAATGATTTATTTCCCACTTCATACAGCTGAGGCCACTTGAATGGGAGAGCAGGGGCTAAATCCCGCCCTCAAAGTCCTAGAGGCTTGGGTGTTCTTTACTCAGCAGGAGCTCAGCTGAGACCGCACACCCAAACAAGATAGCACAAACCTGGTCATGTGACTCTGTTGGTCTCATTCAATGCATCCCTGGACTTTGGTGCTAAACCTCAGAAACCTAAGCATAGCTCCCGTCTCAGACTCCACCTGCTGGGATTCCAGGCTGCACACTAGTCTCTAGCTCTGCGCAGCAGTGACAAGGCAGCTCTAACTCTCTGGGGACAGGCTCAGTCTTTTCTGAAAAAGCCACATGGCAACAGCAGAAGCCCTGGGGAAGAATCTATTGACTGAATACATGGTATTGTCATCTCCTCGACAGCATCCTCAGAGGCTTATCTGCCTGTGTCCCCAGGTGGATGCTGCTGTGTGGAATCACAGAGAGACACCCACGGTGAGCTGAGAAGCACCTCGGCTGCCGCCTCTCCAACATCCAGTTTCGCATCTCTGCTCCAACTGCCTGGTAACCAGACCTTAAGAGTTACCTGTCCATCCCAAGAACTCTGCTGTGTCTCTCTGGAGAGCCACTGGAAGCCTGGACTCCACAGATAGTATTATCAGAAGCTCCCCATTCTCCACCCCCCACCCACCCCCGTGTGCTGTTATTTGAGAGGCAGAGGCAATGAGTCCCTCCGAAGTGGCTGGGCAAGCGAGGAGCAGCAAGTTTACAAAAGTGGAGAACTTGTTGCCGCCTGCAACGCCACCCCCGTGGTCATTGCTCATCCTTACAGACATCAGTAGTCATTTTACCCCAAGTCTCATTTGTGGAGCAAAAAGGTGACTTCTTCAGAGGAGGGACTTTACTAAGAAACTAGAAGGACTCTGGGGAGTGTATGAAGGGTCATGGTGCACACAAAAACTGACTGAGTTACAAACCTAGATATGTGGTCTGACTGCACGTGGGGAGAGTTGACCTCTCCTGAGTCTTCTCTCTTCACTCTCAATAGAG